TTCATCCACAGCCTCTGCTCTTCTTTAGCTTCTCTCAGTGCCTCTTCCATATTTTCCTGCTGTACCACTCTGGGTGGGCCAGCCTGCCATCATGCTCCTGCCATCCTCTGCTACTTGCCCAAAGTACCTTCTCCTGCTGCTTCTGCTCTGTCTCCCACTCTCCTCTGCTCCTGTCTGACTTCTGGCATCATCATTCATTATTGCTGCCTCCACCACTGCTCCCACTGTCATCTTTTTTCTTCCTTTCATTTTCACCTTCGTCCACTTTCCGTCTGCTTCCAGATCTTCATTTCTGTTCTTTAGCTCTTTTTCTACCTCATACTTACTTGCTATTACTGCTGTTGTTTTTAGTTTCAGGTCTCTCCTTCACTCCTTTACTCTCTGCTCTGCTGATCACTTTCTCTGGCTTTGAGGCGTAGAAAAGACTTTCGGTGCTGATGGGAACCTACCACAAGCATAGGTTAGTGCAGGGGTGAGCAAAGTACAGCCTGCAGGCTGGGTCTGGCCTGCCAGGCAACTCCATCCAGTCTGCAGGTGCCCACCAATTAATTGTAGCCCACCCAGCCTGTGTGCCTTGTTCCAATCCTGGTGTGCAAGAAGGGCTCAGCCCAGCCAGCACACAGCTTCCGGGTGGGGCTGCTGCTGCCACTGCTGCAGCCCCCAGGGGACCTGCTCAGCTCCCCCAGCCTCCAGCAGCTCCACCTTGTCTCCCTGCTGCTGTGCCCCCTCCCCCCCACACACACATGCCCATGACACAGTTCCCACTGTCAGCGGTGGCAGCAGCAGGTGGGGGCCCTTGGGGCACTGCCGCCTGGCTGCGCATAGCTCTATTGTGTGGCATTCCCCACCACGCATGTGCAGCTCCTGGCACTTGCATGCCACTGGGAGAAGCCCTGCACACTGGAGTCGGGTGCTGCCATGGAAGCAGGGGGTGGGGCTCCCCGCCACTTCTGGAAGAGCCCTGGCAGCTGCACATGGCAGGGAAGGCAAGTGGCTCCATTGCACAGGGCTTTCCCTGGTCACGTGAGTGCTGGGAGTTGGTACATACATAGTGGGGGGCACTGCACAATAGAGGTGGGACAGCCTGTTTGTGCTCCTTGCCACCATCTCCAGCGCTGGCTGGAGCTGCGTGCTGCTGGGCAGCAGCGCCCTGAGGGCCCCCACCTGCTGCTACTGCTGTTGCCATCAGCAGCAGGAGCTGTGTGCTTTAGAGAGTATGGAGCATTCCCCACATCCTCCTTCAGACCCACACCTTGCCCCCACAACCCCTTCACATATATACACATACCCAGCAACATACCCTATGCCCCGCTCGCACACAGCCATATCCCCTCACAAACCCTACACCCATACCCCACCATAGACACACACGGCCCAGCCACACCACACATGACACCCCACACACTCCCCCCACACACAATACAAGTGTAAGACTTTATTTCTTACTTATTATGCAAGCACCTCTCTGTATATACTGTGCAAACACAAGCCATAACAAAAACAATTTGTAATAAAATTAAAATATGTTGTAGTAAACGTTTGACTTTTAGTGTTATGATTTTTTTTTTCTGGTTCAGATGACAAGCTCCCTCCTCTTAAAAGGAGTACTTCTGGGGGCAAGGGGAGGGGTTCCAGTGGCAAAGGTTAGGGGTTAGGGGTGGGGCTTCCAGTCTCAAGATGGCAACCAAGGGGCGGGACTACCCTTGCAGCCTTTGACAGCTTACCTCCACTCATTTAGTGTCCCTCCAGCCAAAATAATTGCCCACCCCTGGATTACCTATCTGAAGGTAGATATATGGTAGTGCTGATTTAGTGCAGCTTCCCTCAGCACCTAGGCTACTTGCAGACATGGAGAAAAAAACCCCAAAAAACATGCGTTACGTGAAACTCAGTGCGCTCCTATGCTGAGCCCAGCACATGCCTAGAAGAGGCAGTGCATTAGTTTGACCCGTTTCTGCAGCATCTGTATAGATTGGGCACTTTAGTGGGGCTTTTTTGGGTGCTTTTATCTAGTAGTTGATTGAATTAGCTTTAGATAAAAGCACCAAAAAGCCCTACCGTAGTGTCCAATCTATACAGACTTTTTTTTAATTTAAATTCATATAAGGCCAAATTAGCCAAAACTATTCCAAATCTAAGAGTCCAGGACCATAAGTGGCCCTACTACCAGGGAACATCCTCCACCCACACCTGGGGCTTCAGATGTTTCCAAAACCTTTGGTGGGCATCCTCCTTGCAGGCTCAAGCCCAGAGGCTTGGGGTTCAGATGCCTCCAAGTTTTGCTTGCCCTTAGCCATAAGGCCCTTGGAGCAAGCAAGGGAGGAGACTCCCATTTCCATAAACTGGGTTTAAAGCCACCACACCTTGGTGGGTACTGAACTGCCAAAAGAGCAGTTTTCCTGCAGTGTGGTTCAGGAAAACTGCCTTCTTGGACACAGAGATGTGATATTTCCCCTGCCAGGTTAAGAAGCCACTGTGCTTGATCTGAGCCTTCAAGATAGACACTGCAGAGCTGGGTCACCAGTGCTGTTGCTTACAATAAAGCAGTTTTTTGTGGCAGGTTTCATGCCTGCAAGCAGCTCAATTTTTTTTTCCCCAAGTCATGGTGAGCCACTACATCTGGAGCGGGCTTCCAAGGGAGGTGGTGCTCTCCCCTACTGTGGGGATCTTCAAGAGGAGACTGGACAAGCACCTGGCTGGCGTCACATGACCCCAGCACTTTTTCTTGGTACTGGCAGGGTTTCAGACTTGATGATCCTTTGAGATCCCTTCTGACCCTAGCATTTATGAATCTACATTGTATACATTTTGACTTCCTCTTCACTACCACAGCTGACCTGCACCTTTCTTTCCCATTGTCAATGATTCCTGTTTCTCTACCAGTCTTAAATGGCTGGCAAACATCTCCACATGGACCCTAAGCAGTTCACCCAGAATCCCTGTCACCCCCTCTCTCAGTCTGGCACATACAATTAGTGTGTCCCCACCTTCCATGAGATGTAGCCAGACCAGGTTTCCCTGTGCCTCATCTGCATATACATTTTTGAAGCATCCCAGGATTCATGACAAGTACTCTTGGTTCCAGTCATATGGGGTGGGGTGGTGCGGGGGGGGGGGAGGTACTTAATACACAGTTCCTTTGTGGAAGGTATCTGGAATACACTATGTGCTGAGCTCTTGGGTCACCGTGGCTTGAAATGCTGTTGATTCTGGTGGGACCCAGCCCAATGAGCTGTAATGGTAAATCATGAGCCTTTTGGCTTTGGACAGATACCACACGCAGCTTGTATTTTATATATAAAGAGGAACTTAAAGGTCTGCACAAAAGTGTGTTTATGGAATATCTGTGCTAAAACTTTCAGCAGTTTCAAAAAAGGTAAAATGCTAGAAAAAAGACTTAATTCTGGATGAATTAAGTCTATGGGTATTATATACAAATTATTTCAAGGTCACTTTTTTCAAATTTGATACTCATTTTCATGTGCTCAGGTAGACCAGGGTCTGATGGTAAGGAGAAGGGGAAGGAGCTGCAGTGGGAAGAAGTTGGGAGTGCAGAGGGCAAAAGGGCTACTTGACCCCACAGGTTTATTTTTCCCTGCTGTAACAGTGAGAGGGGGGCAGATTCAACACAAACCTCCAATAATTAGATTTTATACCTGGAAAATTATAAATGTATGAAGTTTCCTTATATAGAATCTAATTGTTGCGGCATCATGTTATGATCAAGGTCATCTTATGTTCTGTTAAATATGGGATATACATACAGCATCACTGCTTGGAGCTAAACTTGGTCCTGGCTGTATTTCGATAATCAAAGAATTCCGATCCATGTAAGTCATGCCTTTTAGTGGAGTACACTTATGAGCCGTAATTCTGAATTGATATTCTCTGCTTTTGAGTATATTTCTAGCGAGACATGTTCCATCATTCATTGTTGTAGTGAGCACATGAAGTTTTGAATTTTTTAAAAATCACATTGATATTAACGCAACAATTTTAATAGACACAGAAATGCACCATTGAGTTTTCTTACTTTGTTCATCAAAATACTAATTTGCAGCAATTCCTCCCCTTGGGTTTTAAAATGCTTTATAGGAGGAGTTTTCAGAAAATATTGTAAAGAACCGAAGAATCATCAGTGTTTGCAAACATTGTTTGGTTGAAATCTAAGGATGCAAATTTTCTTAGTCTTTCCTCAACATTTCTTTCTTTTTGCTTTAAAATGGAAACATTGCCTTAAGTGCACTGAAGTGTCATCTGCTTTTACTCTAACTTCTGTAAGTACTTCTGGTTCCTTTTACTGAAGTGCCATAGCACCTTTAACTTATTCTGCAGCTGTTTCTCAGTGTATTATAACAGATAGCCCTATGCTTCCTGCAGCATTTGTAGAATGATAAGGCTCATTATTTAATGGCAAAATCACATTTTATGCATAGTTCTTATATTGGGACTCAGCGTCTGAGTTGGTACTAGTATATCCTGTATTTAAATGGCACGTTCCAAAGATGTTTGCTGTAGAGTTTTCTACAGCTCACCTCTCTTTAGTAGTAAGCACTGTAATTGAATTGACATTGTGCAATTTGGTTCTTTACGTTATTTAACATTTCATGGGAGTGGGTTTTTTGTGGCATTGTTCTGTGAGATGGCAGAAGTGGAATAAAAACTAACATAGTTATATAGCACCTTTTTTAGCTAAGGCTTTGAGTGTTTTACAGATACCCTGTGACGTGGTGGGGTTCATCTCAGAAGTTATTGGAAGTTTTACAACATGATTTATCTAGTTTTACGGTATTGTCCTAAATGCCTCCATTTGAATTGGGAACTTGTGTTAAGTGGACTAGTTGTGTTAAGTGCTGTAAAAACTCAAAGGATCTCTCATCTGTGAAACTCAGTCTAAGAATTTCTCAACCCTGGTATATGTTAGAAAAGGCAATGTGTTTGCCTTTCTTCTATGGCTTACCAACTTAGCATCCACGCTTTTTCTTCTTCTTTAATTTCAGAAACGAGTGCCAGTGCAATGCAGTCAAAAAGAAGAAAATCCAAGTAAATTACTGCATGGAAACATGAGACTTGTAAATGAGTGTGAATTTTACCAATAGCAATTTTGAGCTGTGATTTTATTTTATTTTTTAATCTGTACAGTAAGTAATTTTAATATTATACTGTTCCCAGTAAATGCAAGGTGTTTGTCTAAAAACAAACATCTGGTTATAAAAAATGGGGTCATTGTAAAATCCTTTGGTTCTGCAAATTAAGTCCAGGATTAGCACACTAGATTGATATGTTGTAAGGAATGGTGGGGGGTGGGGGGTGGAAATCAATTGTAAATTTATTTCTAAGTTTCCAGTTTTCATAAATGACTTAGATTACAGGGTTGTCATTTTTAGGTATTAAAACGATGTATTGTGCTGTTGTTTTAAGTACTGTATGTGAATAGCAGTGAGAGGGTTATAAATAAACCCAATCTTGTTTGGAAATGTAAATAATTTTATTATATAGTAGATCTGATGTATTTGTTGTAGAAATGGACCAGTGAAACAAAAGTAAATTTAAGGGTTTGTATAATGTGGAATCCCTAATGCTCTAAATAAATGTTATTGTCCTACGACTTGGGCTGTATTATTATTAGCAGTACAAGCATCATACTGTGTACAGGGTGATTGAATGGATTATTTGAAGCTCTAGACCTACAAGCTCCTTATATGGAGCTTTAAAAAGGAATTTGTTTAACCACAGAATAAATTAACTAATGCAGCTCTTCCTCCAAAATAAAATATTCTGCTTCTGTCACTCTAGCATTCGATATTTGTGGGGGAGCCCCAGAAGAAAGCTTTCCCCACATGGAAGTGTTCATCAAGAGGAAAATGCTGTGCTAAATGGTTTGGAGGATTTCTGAAATCTGGTTGTTTGAAAGGTTTATCTGAATAAACATGCACTCAGTGCTGACTTGCCCATGTGTACAAGAGAAACTAGGCGAGTACTTTTGTTGTGGGAAGACTCCCGTGGTAAGACATTGAGAAACAAGTCTTCCTAAAATAGTTCATATTGGCAAAACTTAAACTTTGTAAAACAAAGTGGCAAGGGGAATGCTTTTTTGTACAGAAAATATCAAGTGCTAGTTGGTCAGGACTTGTACCAGAAAGCTGAGCCTTCTGCACCTGGAAAATTCTGTGTCATTACAGAACAAGAGGTGTGTTACGGTTGTTCTAAAACTTTTGTTCTTCCTGTAATAGCTAAAGTCAGTTTGTACTCTTGATTCTTTGGTTTCCTGTAGAAAGTTAGGTGGTGAACTCTTTGGAAAAACCGAGGCATGGCTACTGTACTGCCAATAGCAGGCATTTTGGCTTAAGAAATTTTGCCCAAACCCTGAAGATGTGGTACATACTTAAACTATTTACAAACTATGATGTAAACCTAAGCTATTTTAATATTTAGTTTATTTGGCTTCTGCAGTTAAGCTAGTCCTGGGCCTTCTTCTAGTGAAGTCAATGCCAAAACTCCAAGTGATGTTCTTGGGACCAGACCCAGTAAGAACTCCACATAGCACACTCATTTTCCCTAAAATCTTAGTGTGGATAGGAACTCTGGGCATATTTAAAGTTTGTTTTAAATTATCTGTCACTTTCTTTGTAAGTGAAAAGTCCTGGGTTGATATTTGTGAAGACTAAGCTTTCCCCCTGTCCTCTCCCCTACTCCCCCAGACTTTCCTCTCCCTGCCCCCCCCCCCCAACTTGTGCAGGTTGTGTAACGGCAGTGCACTGTTCTTCAGACTGGGTGCGTCTGTATGTGTAGACTAATTTACTGCACAGTAAAGCATCACCATCTACACGTGTGTCAATTGAGCCAGTGTAGACTAATTTACAGCACTGTCTGATAGTCCCATCAGACACAGGTACTATCCAATGGCAAAGGAAATTACTGCACTTAAATGCACATGTAGACAGTGACATCAGGGTTAGTTTACTCTGGCTCAAATTGTGCCAGGGCTTATTCAGTCACATTAATTACACATGTAGACACGGCCACTGCTTACCTGACTCTTAAGGACCCAGACAGGTATGTGGAGAGTAGTGATTCATAAACAGGGTGCCATGGCACCCTATCAAGGGTGCTGCAGGCTGCCACACAATGATAGCACTGTTACAAAACTAGAGTCTCAAAAACATTCTGATCTGTTGTGCTGTGACTTGTTTGCAACAGAAGAACTGGTCTGTTGTTTTTTCTGTATTCAAAAACCAAGTGAAAACTAAGAGCCAGTGTTTTCTGAGGGGTGCCTGGAGTCTTAAAAATATTGAAACTCGGGCAACCTAGTGACAAAGGATGCAGAAAAGGCTGAAGTACTCTCAGTGCCTTTTTCACTTTAATCTTCACAGGCAAGGTCAGCTCCCAGACTGTGCTGTCAGGTGCAGTAGTTGGAGGAGGGGGTAAGCAGCCAACAGCTGCGAAACAACAGGCTAGGGACTATTTAGAAAAGCTGGACATATCCAGGTCCATGAGGCTGGACAGGGTGCACCTAAGAGTGCTGAGGGAGTTGGCTGATGTGATTGCAGAGCTGCTGGCCATCATCTTTGCAAACTCGTGGCAATCAGGAAAGTAGGGCTGTGCAAAGCTTTGGGTGTTGATTCGATTCAGAGGGGATTTGGCCTGATTCAGTGGCTGAATCTCCAAATTCGAATCAAATCAGGGGACCAATAAAAAGATCCGAATCAATTCGAAGCTCTCTGAATCTTTGAAAAAAGATTCATAGCTTCAGTGATTTGGACAGTCCCCAGTGGCTGCAGCAGGGAGCTGAAGCTGGACTCGGAGCTGGTGAGTTGGGTCTCTGTCATGAGCTGTGGGTGGAGGGAGGCATGAGGCGCCAAGCATGAGAGAGGGTGCTGCCCCTGCTTCTGCATCCTACACGTGTCCTGGGACCAGAGTCCATTCAAGACTCCAGTGTCATCCTAGGGCTGGGACTGGCAATCAGCTGATTGTCAGCTTCTGCCCTGGGACCACATTGGAGCAGTTTGAGTCTCCCATTTGGTCCCAGAGCTGGGAATGTCAGTCAGGTGACTGTGGGCACCAGCCTTGGGACTGCAAATTGTTCATATTATCTCTGTGGACTGGTTGGACAATAGCAGAACATGTGCTACTAAATACTATCTGGAGACACTCATTCCATGAAAAGTCCTAAGTTTTCTGTGATCT